ATGCAGGGAAATCACAGCATGTACAGAGAGGGCACTTGCAGTTACTACAGTGAAAGGCATTGGGATACAGGTACAGATCTGTAGGAAAAAAAGCTTGCTTAATTATGTTACAGAGTAAATTGCTGAATCTTTATTCTCTTCACTGTGAAGCACTACTGCATGCACATGTATGTCATAGCAATTTTAATAATTAGAAATACAGTAAGAATTGTTCCAGAGGTGAGTTTATCTGAGCTCACATTAATCTCACTGTCTTGTTCATGTGTTTCTGCATTCCGTTTGCTGCTTCTGTTATTTCTGATTTATCTGTGGTGTATTGCTGTAGGCTGAGTGCTTGCTGCAAATCCACTGTTGGATTACAGGCATTTTTTTGTTTCCATGGTAATGAACAGGGCATAATAAACACTTTATAAAATATGGTTAAAATGACCAATTCAGGTTCAGCAAGAGCTTGTGTCTGTGTGTTTTTTAATTTAGTAAAATGTTGGTCGTGGTGAACGTTCTTGATATACTTTGGCACTTCAGCAGTGGAAACTTGATCTGCAAGAATCTGGAAAAATTGTAAAGCTCTGCTATTGTTAATTAGTTATGCATTTTAATTGCAACTGTTCTGATATTGTTATGGATTGGATTTACATGGGAGAGTAAAACAGAGACACTTGCTGCTGACAATGGAAAAAGTACTATTGATGGCACAGCCAGTGGTTACAGAAGTGTGAAAGACTGGCTCTGTGCAGGCTTTAAAAGTACCTGTGTGAAGGAGTGAATCTGAAGATTTCCTTTTAGTTAATATGTAACAAATACTGATTTTGTTTCCCTTTTATAAAACTGAGCAATGATGAAGAAACTAGAACATAACAATGCTGTAATGAAATGACGGTGCTGTAATAAAAATTTGACTTGTATCCGTGTTTATTCTGTTGTTGGCTTGATGGTTGGACTAGATGATCTTTATAGGTCTTTTCTAACTGTAGTGATTCGGGGATTCTGTATGGTTACCAGTTCCCATATATCCATTCAAAATTTTTTGTCAGTATAGAAGTACAGTAGAACAGTGCATGTTAGTATTAAAAGGAATTGTTAATGTTAAGTACTGCTTCTTTATAATTTTACTTGTTCAAAGAAACAAGTTAGCTCATGGACTAATAATAAAGACCAGGAAAATAGGGGCTATGTAGCTGCCCTTTTTTCTAACCCCTTGTTCCATGTTTACAGCTAAGCAACAACAGTACAGTTTACATTGTAGGAAGCAGTATTATTTATCACTATATTTTCAAACTAACCTAGGAGGCAGGGGAAGAAGAATTGGTGGAATGCTAAAATCTGGATCTCACTCCACCCATAGCACTTTATTCAAACAACCACTCTTGGAAAACAAACAAACACAAAACCACCCGCAAAAAAGTCAGTCCCCAAAACTACCTATTAGAGTGCCTTTGAATATTCAACAGTTCAAAAGCATTTTTAAATAACATATTTCCTTCTGTGTCATTTAAAGAGCTAAACTAATCTGTTTTCTTTCTTTTGTGGATATGTTTTTTGCCAGTATTTCCAGCTGTTTCTACCATTTCAAATCTGTGGTCTGAAACTTAAACTATGTCTATTGTTTCACAAAGCTGTGTGTGTATGTCAAGTTCAGTTAGCTGCACTCTGTCAAACTTTATGTTAAGTAGCCTTTCCGTCAAAAAGAGACTTTAGAAAGAGTAAGAGTTTAAACAGACTGACGTGATGTAAATTGACTCGAGATGTACAAGGGAATACACACAGACTTCAGGATGAAAATGTTTGCATGCCTGGGTTAGTAAGAATTTTCTTCATGGATATTCTACAACTTTTTTATTATAGGCACCCCCTGATAATGCTTAATCTGGTAACTGAATTTCTTAAAACAGTAGAGAAGATTTTGAAATCTGTGTCTTAAATATGGATTTAAAATTTCACTTGTGGAGCTGTTATCATATGGATAATATATAAACTAAGCTGATACTTCAGTTTCATTGTTCTCCTCTGACATCAGTGTATCAGACTTGCAGAAGAGTACACTGACAATATGTTCAGGTTTAAACAATTACAGATAATTAGAGTGGTAAATGTCACGATGTACAAGTGTTAGTGAAATATGGTTTTAATTATTACTCTCCTTTGTGTCATATTTCATCCCTTGAAGCCAGCAATACCCTCAAGATGCTTTAGCCCATTTATGGAACTTCTCCCCTCCCTACTAATTATCTGTAATTAATACCTTGCTAAAAAGATGGAATTGCTTCGTCTTGTCCTAGCATCATTTGTTATCTATATAGTTAAAAATGTAACTCAATTTTAATTCAAAGTTAATTTTCACAGATAATTTTTTCTGAAATCTTCTCTTCCACTGAAAAAAAAAGTTGTTTTTTTAATCTGTATATTATTCACATTAGTAGAAAATAGTTTGCAATCTGTCAGAAAATTTTCCTTAAAAACAAAACAAAAGGAAACATTTTGATAATAAAATTTGGAATTGAAAGTTAATAGGCTATTTCTGGTTTCATTGGCAATTTATGTCTCAACTTCCTTTACTCGCGAGATCACTCCATTTTACGCATTTGACACCTAGAGTTGCCTATTCCTTTGTATTTTCTGTTGACCTTTTGTGTCTTGATTGTTTAAAGAATATAAATAATTTCTGCTTACTTTAAAAACTTTCTGAAGTGTCTCTTTGAATCCCCTATTTTCTTTAGTATTCTGAAAATCTTCATAAGTTACTCTCTTGTGTCTGTTTTGTTACTGAAAGAGCTTAAACTTTTGTAGAGCAGTATAGCACTTACTTAGAAAGAAAAATAAGTGGGCTGTGTGAAAGGATCTTCTTTTTGATTGCAGTCATGACAAACTAAAATGACAAAAATTACTAAGTTAAATAAAAGTGAGAACTGATTTTTTCCAAGCTGCATTATAAAACAAGGATAGAAACTCAAAATTTTCTTCATATTTTCATATTTAAAAAACAAAAAGGGCAAGTTGTATTGCAGCATACTCATTTGCATCTTCTTTAACACATTTAGACTTTTTCTTTCTTGATAGTTTTGAATTCTTGAATCCTTGAGGAGACTGTGAGTTACTGAACACAGTATCTGGACTGTCAAATTTTATTTGAAACATGAAGTTTAATTAACCATTAACACATGATTAAATTTGACACAGTGGAAGGGTTATTTCAGCTTTTGCAAAGGAAAGCTTATGCATTGCTGGGCTGGTTGTTGTTGAAGCTGGTAACAGCCTACTTGCATAATAAGATGTTTTAACAGGACCTTTTACCAAAAGCTCTTTAAGGAAACTGAACAGATTTGGGATAAGAGTAAGGATTTACCAGAGCAGATTACCTTGTTTCTTATCTTCTAACAAATAAAGCCAGTTTTCGTAGCACTAAGTCACCAGTGGTGTTTTGTAAAGATCTGTGCAGTTGAATTTGTTCATAAATAATTTGGAACAGGAAGTGGAGATACCCCCCCCTTTTTTTTTCCTGGGTAGTAGAGATGAGGACTAACTAAGAAGGTTTGTAGATGGATGTTATGATAAAATTGATAGGTAAGCGTAGATAAATGTGAAGGAGGGCAAAAGCATTGATCAGAGTTTTGAAGGAGCTTCCACACATGAAATGACTGAATAGATGCTGATCTCTTTGCTGTGGAAAGATGTGAAAAGAGATGTGGAGCATTCTGAAGGGCTGAGAAGGTGGTTTTGCACTCCCTTTTCTGTCAGAACAACAGAGCATATGATGAAAAGAGTGATGAATCAGATGCTTCCTGATGCAGGTGCTAAGAAAAAAAAACTCCAAAACTGCTATTCAAAAAGTAATGGAGTGAATTCAGGATTCCTGTAATTTGCTGAGGACTGTTAAGGCAATTGCTTCTGGTTCAATGTGTCCCTCATGGAATTCTTAATTTAGGAATTTCCTAAGCAAGGATAATAGCTTTATATGAGGCCAAGTGAGTGTTCTGGGAAAGTAAGATGTTATGATTGCCTTGTTCTTATTTACTTATCCTTGACTATCCACTGTCAACCTCTACTAGAGACTGGATACTGGGCTAGCCAGCCTGTGGTCTTATCAACAACATCCATTTTTATGAAAGATTGTATATGAAATTATCCTTCCTTGTTACATGTAATTCATGTTTCTGGATGGACTGGTAATTTAGCAATACGAAAATAGGCTAGAACTTTACCTTAATCAGGCCAATTAATTCTGAGGTAGTCCTGTCTGCTAAGTTCCCAGTTCCTGCTTTTGTACCTACTAAGTTTTGGCTCGAGAGATTCTGCTTCCTACTGTTTTTCAATAATAGGATTCTTATAATCCCTATCTGTAGGAAGCCATACTGCTTGGGAAGGGTGTGTTGAGAGAAGAATGCCTCTTCTAGAAGACTAAAGTAGACAAACTTTGGGGGGGGTTGTTTTGGGTTTTTTTTTTTAATCTGGAATGCTTATGTAGCAGTATAAAGCTTAGCAATTCTGTCTGCAGATAACTGGAGAAAAATATAGGGGGAAACATGTAAGGAATACACAGGTTCTTAATTACTACCATCCTTTTTTGATGCTGCAAAAACCACAACAGACCAGGCATGTCAAGAATCATGATTCTTCTACAATTCATTAGCTTGTTCACATCCTCTAAAATATTGCTAAAATATTGTTAACTGGAAGGTTCATGATTCCTTTTGGTGAGGCCTCAACTCCCATCAAAAACATTTTTTATACTTGTAACTTCTCATTGATTTGGTTAGCAACATAAAGATGTAGCCAGATACTTGCAGCACCTGTAACACTTCGCTAGGTAGCTAGAATTTGGCATAAGCTTCTTGGAAGGGTTTAAATCTGATCCATCCTGAACCTACTTACCTACCACAGCATGGTTTATTATGGAGAGGAGTGTTGAGATGTAAGTTTAATGAAAGAAAACCTGTTAATGCTTAAAAGTATGATTTCTTTAAGACTAACTAAGAACACATTCTTTTTTTTAAATACTACAGTGTACAGACTATGACCTGGATTATGGAACTGAATGTTTGCATCTGGCTCTGAAATACTCTAAAACAAATGCTAAACTTGTTGAAGGAACAGCTGACCTCTGGAAGGTAAAGGCAATGATTATCTCTATTTTCTATATATATTTCAAAATTAATAAAATTTGCATTTTACCATAAAAATTCAGATGTGTTTTCAGTTGTAATAGGCTTTTCTCTTTCAAATTTCAGAATTGTTTTTGGATTATCATGAGATTTTTTTTTTTAGAGCTTGTTGTAGACAGACTTAGGCAGATGTTACCTGAGATAATCAATGAAGACAGTCTGTATCTAGAAGTAGGACAGCCATCTAAGTACTTGAATAACCTGAGAATCTGTAAAACTAGAAATCCATAATATCTAAAATTAAGAACATTCTTTTATGTGATGAGCTTTCTCCTGGTATTTCTATATTTTTATAATCTATTTTCCTCCACTTTTTGAGGACATAATTTTTCTCTGATGCCAAATACCTGGCTACACAGTTTGATTTTTATAACAGTTCACTACATTCAGTAACACTGTAATGTTTAAGACTTCTTCAAACACTCTTTTAGAATTTTTTAACCATCATTCACCTTGTCTCATAATCTGTATGTTCCTGATGACTGACAAAGCAGGTGTGTATACAGGTGCCAAAGTATATGTCCCTGCTGCTTAAAAGTATCCCATTTCATTGTTTTGGATGGTGGGACATTATTCTTTCTTAGAAACTGTTGTGTTATGCAATTTTTAAATGTTTCTTTTTGGGGTTTTATTCATTACCACATTGAAGGATCTGGAAACAGCTCAAATCACTCCATCTGTCTGACAGTAAATTTCCTCCAATGAGACATGATTTCTAATAATATGATAGTAAATCTTACACGGAAAGGTAATTTCCTGAATCTGCGGTGCAAATTTCCTGTGCAGTGTAACAGCACAATGTACTCATGCATTGGTTGCATACAGCAACTTCTTTCAGTATCTTTCTGGGGACATAATCTTTCTGAAACAGTCTATTGTCTGTTTTCATTTTCAGTCTTCTAAGGGACAGATTGTCATGCATATTTGCTTTACATCACTTTTTCAGATGATTTCATTGTTCTCTCATTGCAAAGCATGGTACTTACAAGAAGGGTAACAAAATATACTCAATGTTTGTTTAGTTCTTTACTATCTGTGCATAATAATGATGCCCAGATAGAATGTAGTCTTTTGACCTAGAATGACAGAATAATTAAGATTTAAGGAAATAGATAGATGTCCAGAGGAGGCCACGAAGATGGTCAGAAGGCTGGAGCACCTCTCCTATGGGGACAGGCTGAGAGAGTTGGGCTTGTTCAGCCTGGAGAAGAGAAGGCGCCGGGGAGACCTTATTGCAGCCTTCCAGTACCTGAATGGGGCTACAAGGAAGCTGGAGGGGACCTTTTGGAAGGGCCTGTAGTGACAGGACAAGGGGTAATGGGTTTAAATTGAGAGTGGGGAGATTTAGATTGGATATCAGGAAGAACTTCTTCATGGAGAGGGTGGTGAGGCACAGGAACATGTTCCCTAGAGAAGCTGTTGGATGCCCCATCCCTGGAAGTGTTCAAGGCCAGGCTGGATGAGGATTTGAACTACCTGGTCTAGTGCAAGGTGTCCCTGCCCATGGCAGGGGGGATTGGAACTAGATGGTCTTTAAGGTCCCTTCCAACCCGAACCATTCTGTGACTCAGACTTTAGCTTGTGCATGTCTCTGTTTTAAAAGAGAGTGTTCAAATGTTAGTCCCACTCCAACATTGTTGGTGAAAAGAAATCCTGATGCTGTTAACTTTCTAACATGTGAAACCTGTTACAGTAGCATTGGACTTCAGAGGCCTGTAAGCACTTGAAAATGATAGCATGTGAAGTGAATTGCTTGTAGGTGCTCAGATATTGGACATAGAAATTTGTTAGCTGGTGGCATAATGGAGAATATCATGGAGAAGAAGATTAAGGTAGAAAAGCTGAAAATACTGTGGAACATGTGAGTGATTTGATAGTACTATATGTAGTATGACAGTAGCAGCAGCACCCATTTATGTGCAGATACTGTGCTGCAGGTGGTGCAGAGCAGCGAATATACCATATATAGTGTATAGAGATGCTGGTACCATGTCATTAAAGTACCTAAACCTTTTCACGTCCTGTTCCCAGTCTGATTTTGTAGCTGAAAGTCATTGGTGTCTTCTGTGGCTTCTCAAGATATTCAAAATGAAAGGCATGAAAATGACAAGGTCTGTAAAATAGTAAATAGTTTCTCCAGCAAATACTTCTATCATCTTAGAGACTATAGAGGAATATAGCTCCTTCCTGCTTGAATAGCACCCTGCTGTGGTCACTCTGTACCAGGGTGTTTGGCAGGTGACTTGGGGCAGTACCATTAGAGAACAGTTGTGCTCAGTCTGTGCAGTTTGATGAAGTGTGAAAGGCTGACAATTTTCTCAAGTGATGCTTGCCTACAAAATATTTCTTACTAATAAGAAGCAGAATTATTTCCAAAGCAGAATTGTCTTTCCTTAGATGTCAGCATAATGTAATTTCTAATTTGTTGTTTTTTTCCATAAGGCTTTTCAAAGTTTTTTTTTCAATAACAGGCTAAAAGGTATTCCATCCAGATAAATGAGAATTGAAATAAATACTCATTCAGATGAGGTTTCAGAGGATGTGTAACAGAAACTGCAGTCAACTAACAGCTGGAGAACAGTTTCTAACATCCAAGTATTAAAAACCAGTTTCATTCTTTGTGAACCTTGAGTCTTTAAAGAGAAAATCTGATATTTCTAAGAATTCAGTTTGTATATTAGGTGCACAACCTACATAACATAAAATGACTTAGTGCTGTGGGAAAAAGTTATTTATGTGTGCATATGTATTGTCTTCTTGAATTAACTAATTACTCTATTGGAGCGCTGTTACGGTGCATTAGAAAAAAGTACATTTCAAAGTCACTTGCCATCGGACAAAATTCAAGCAATAGTTTGTTTACTTTCTGGTAACAAATTATGGAATTAAAATCATTCTTTGTAGTGCCAACAACCAGGCAGGAACATTTAAATTACTTCAGTGTTATAAATATTTATAAGTTTTATTACAAATGTAGTTATTATATAGTTGTTTGTAACATATTTCTCATATGATCAGGGTGGCAAAAAGGGAAACAGAATGACACTACTTTGGTTTTCTCTATGTGTCACACCTGTGAAACAAAATTACCTTAAATGTCCTGGGGCAATATCCTCTTAAATAAAGTATAAAATAATTTAACAGTGTTAATTGTTGGAGTGTAATGTATATGTGTGTTTATAATGCAGATGAGATCCTTATTCAAATTGGTATGCATGTAAAGTCTTAAATGCCCATACGGCGAAAAAATTTACAATCTCAGAATGGTTTGGGTTGGAAGGGATCTTAGAGATCATGTAGTTCCAACACCCGTGCCATGGTCAGGGACACCTTCCACTAGACCAGGTTGCTCAAAGCCTCATCCAGCCTGGCTTTGAACCCTTCCAGGGATGGGGCATCCACAGCTTCTCTGGGCAACCTGTTCCAGTGCCTCATCCCCCTCTACGTGAAGAACTTCTTCCTGATACCTAATCTAAATCTACCCACTTTTCAGTTTAACCCCTTTCCCCCTTGTCCTGTCACTACAGGCCCTTGTAAAAAGTCCCCCCTGCCAGCTTCCTTGTAGGCCCCTTTCAGGTACTGGAAGGCTGCTATAAGGTCTCCCCGGAGCCTTCTCTTCTCCAGGCTGAACGAGCCCAATTCTCTCAGCCTTTCATCATAGGAGAGGTGCTCCAGCCCTCTGATCATCTTCATGGCCTCCTCTGGACTCATTGCAACAGGTCCATGCTCTCCTTATTCTGTGAGTCCCGGAGTTGGGCACAGTACTCCAGGTGGGGTCTCACAAGAGCAGAGTATAGAGGGAGAATCAACACCCTTGATCTGCTGGTCATTTTTTATTTGATGCAGCCCAGAACACTATTTGCTTTCTGGACTGCCAGCACACCGGCTCATGCTGCCGGCTCATGTCCAGCTTCTCATCAACCAACACCCCCAAGTCCTTTTCCCCACAGCTCTTCTCTGTCCATTCTCAGCCCAGCCTGTACTTGTGCTTGGGATTGCCCCAAACCATGTACAGGACCTTCCACTTGGCCTTGTTGGACTTCATGAGGTTCACACAGGCCCACCTTTCAAGCCTGTCAAGGTCCATCTGTATGGTATCCCTGCCTTTCAGTGTGTTGACCGCACCACACAGCTTGGTGTTTTCAGCAAACTTGCTAAGGGTGTGCTCGATCCCACCATCCACGTCACTGACAAAGATGCTGAAAAGTGTTAGTCCCAATACTAACCCCTGAGGAAGGACACTTCTCCCTGGTCCTCAGTTAGGCTATTGACTACAAGACTCTTGAGTGCGACCATCCAGCCAGTGCCTTTTTCACTGAGTGGTCCATCTGCAAATCCATGTGTCTCCAATTTAGAGGCAAGGGTGTCATACAGGACAGTATCAAGTGCTTTGCACAAGTCCAGGTAGATGACATCAGTCACTCTTCTCTTATACACCAGTGCTATGACCCCATCACAGAAAGCCACCACACTTGTCAGGCATGAAAATTTTCATTTCTAAAAAAACCAGGTTATTTCTAATCCTAGAATAATATCCCATATAAAAGAGATTTGTATGATACCTTACCTTAACAGAAGGGAATAGAACACGAAACTAAAATACAATGTATTTTGTGTGTGTGATCATAACATCATTGTATTTATTTTGCGAAGAGTTAATTTTTACATTTAACATAGTTTTGTAAATCTAAAATGTTCATCAAACTAAATCAGTTTGAAAAAGACTTTTAAACATTAACTGGAAATAACTTTGGGAAACTTTTTAGAAGAGCATCTTCCTAGTTAGTGAGAAGTTTCAGCCTGACGAGAGAGAAGAACACACAGGAAAACAAATAAACCCACTCTTGTCTGTTTATTTTTGAGGCTTTAGTAAATAGATATAGTAGACTGTTTATGATACAGAAAAGTAGAGAAATGTTTAATAAGTCTATTCTGCCTTTGGCAGAGAAGCAGATGATGGTTTCATATTCCATGATAGTAAGATATTGGTGTTGAGTTTTAGTACTTGGCCTAGCACAACTCTGGTTTACAGCAATAATGTTAAAAGAATTTTGGAACATTAGATGCGCAAGAGGACAAAATGAAATTTAATGTTGTCACATGAAAAGAGAGAATCTGGGTAATTAGAACCCTGTGAGTTTGATATTGATTAAAGAAGGGTGCACTGCTACAGGCAGAACTTGATTATTAAAGAGTTAAGGGGCTAATGTAATTAATGTCAACCAACATGGAGTTTACTTATTTTGTGAAATTGACTTCAAGCCTTTTTTACAAGATTATAGTCTAGGCTGATAAAGATGGTAGTGCTGATAAAATATAGAGTTGGGAGAAATTTGTCTTCTTATTACATGGTATCTTAATTAAAAATGGGATGACTGTAATTGTACTAGTCCTCATTAAATAGATTAAAAATTGGATAACTGATATATTTCAAAAGATAATTCTCACCGTGTGCAGTTCTGCAGAAACTGTTATTGTCTCTAAGCTCTTTAATGTTTGTATGATAAAGTCTGCAGGCAACACAAAAGTTTGAAAGATTTGTAAATAAAGATATAATTGATCAGAAATAACCTATTGATAAGGATTGCTTGGCAAACAGTTTAAACAAAAGGCATGCTTTTCACTGCAGCCAAATATAAAGTGATTTTTAGAAACAAAAACGGTATAGGCTGTATTTAGAGAATTGTTCTAGGAAGGCAGTGACTTTGAATATGGTTTAGGAATCACAGAGCATAGCAAGTTTCCACTGTGGGCAAAATACCTTATGTCAGCCATGGATATAGAAACAAGAATATGAAATTAGAAGAGAGATACTCTAGTAATACAAGTGCATCTAAAATACCATGGTCGAATCTGGCCCTGTGCAAGTGTTGATAAATAGAGAAGGTTCAGAGAAGAGCATGAGAGAGAATATTAAATGGTAATTTGATAAATCCATAGAGATTTAGCTTAGCAACATGATATTAAAAAACCCCAGAAATGCATGAGGTAGAAGATCTCTGTTCTGCAAAGTGTGAGAGAACTCCTCTGTGTGATCTTGCTTATGTTTTCCACTGTGATTTTTGCACCTCACCTGGGCTGCGAGAGTGGAGAGTGCCTTTTTACTTTTTGGCATGGAGTGACAGGTAAAGTATTCTTCCTGATTGGTTTGCTTAGATCTGAATTGCTTCTGTCTGGGGTGAGCCTAGAATGCAAATCCACCTCAGTGAAACTAGAGGGTAAAGCAGTATAGCTGCTCAGAACAATAAACTGCTGTGTTGGCTAACCTTAAAAGCTGTTTAAAACAAATTCATACTTAGCCAGTGAATGGTTAGAGTTAAACCAAAGGATGCCTCTGCCCTGGTTGCCTGCCTTTTGAATAAGTCTCATCTAAATTGCAAGAACACCTCTTAATCTTAACACAAGAAAATCCAGAGACTTTATGAATATCCATACCTTAAGAGAAAATTTGGTTAGAATTAGCATCTCATTGATATTGAAAGAAGTTTAGAGAATCCCTCCCTCCCTCCCTGACTGGTAAGTGGTGGTCACCTGTGGTACCTGGCAGGGTTTTCCTCTCTGTTGACTTTACTATTTTCATATAGTTTATAGGATCAAAGATTATGAAGGATTATTATCCCCTATGTACGTATAGTGTGATATGGTCTCAGATGATTTATTTCTCTAAGAAACCACCCTAAAAAGTATTTGCTGATGTCTGGCTCAGAATTTCAGAAGTGATTTTAAAGCTTCATTATTAATTTTTTTATTCCTCTATGCTGTTTTCTTGAAGACTGGGCCTAATTTATGGTGTAACCTGCTTTTAAAATCAGACTATTTAAAAATACTTTTACATCTTAAAGAGACTGGGAACCGTAGAGTATGTGAGACCACTTTTTACAAAGCTTAGATAGTCTTGTTTCTTGAAAGGTTTTTAGGTGGTAATCTGTTACAGGTTTTCTGGAAATTCTATATAAAAGCCCTCTAGAAACAGGTAATTAGAAAGAAACCTTGCAACAGAATTGGTGACTCAAGGATTCTTTATCCTTAAATTTAAATTCAAGACATTGATTCTTCCCAGCAGTATGTAAATGCAGGCACCTAAGATTTCGCAGGCTAAATTCCTTCTCTGGCTGCTTCTCCTGCAGGACAAGCTGTGGTAAAGTAAATTAAATTTGAATTTTAAAAGGTTATAATTGCTTGGAGAAATTATGAGTAACGAGAAAGGTAATATTATTCGTCTGTTTCTGACTGCAATACACAGCTTAATTTATGAGTTGGAAAGGAAAGTGGTTACAAGAATCCTTATGTTAAAATGAAATAATTTACTTGGAGACTAAAATGCTAATACCTACATTGGTATGTTTCTTCTGTAATGTCTACTTTGCAGCACTAAAACTTATGGAATCCTATTCAGTCCATTTCAAAAAGAAAGAAGAAAGTTATTCGGGCTCTAGAGAAACAAATGAAGAAAATCCAGTACTATTTTACTTAACATAAAAGGATGTTACAGTAAAAACAAATACAAATATTTAGGATTTTTTTCTTGTATCAGTTCATGTCACTGCATGTAATTCCAAAGACATTGCTAGCAAAGACTGTTAGTGTCTTGGGTAGTGCTACCTTTAGTTTTCTAGCATTTTATTTGCAAAGCCTAATACTTGGATTGTCAACCACTGTGATGGTACAAAGGCAGATATGAAAGGTGTTTTCTTGCAAGTGTCAAGTAAGTATTCAGCAGCATCTTATTATCCATCTAACTTGATCTGAATAATGTCTTCAAGAAGGTCTTGATGGGTTTTATCCTCTGAAAGCTCATATAAAACCTATCATAGTCCCACTGACTCCCACCGATTAATTGGACTCTCGTTAACAGAAATAGTCTTGCATTACTGAAAAACTAAGCCTATATTTGTGAAAGAAATATTGAGGCTTCTCCCTGGCTGTCATTTCTGTGATCACAAGTCTCATAAAAAATTAATCTGTTCCATGATAAAATAGTAGAAATACAGTTTTTAAGGAATTATGAAATGCAGTGTCATGTTTCTAAGCTTCTTCAAAGGGTTAAAAATAGCTTTAGGTTTCAGACGAGGTCTAAGTAGTTCTAAGTATTTAAAAAAAGGTTTCTCTTGAGTCTCCAGTTATTTCTGCAACTTCTGTTCTCATGACCTGCCAGTGATATTTTACCAGAGTTAAGAAATTGACAATATTGATTGTTTATGGTATTTTGAATGTAAATAATTGTCTTCAGGGCATTGTTCTACTGGTTTTACATTCCTTCCTTCTGTGTTGAATCTAATGAGGCTTGTCTGTCCTTTAGGTGACCTACAAGCGGGATCTGTATGCAGCTGAATCGATTATTAAGGGTATGTGTTCATCCTGGTGGCTGCCAGTTTGCATATTCCTGAGTCTAATTTAGAATCTTGTGTGCTATAGTTTTAAATGTCTTTAAGAAAACTTTTATGATGAATAAGATGTCCTTCGGCAAGTTGTTTTAGCTTGTTCACTGGAATACTTGTATTATGCATTATTTACCTTTATTTACTTCTCTTAGAACAGAGAATCTTATAAAAAACTGTGCATTACAGAGTCAAACAGAGGTTAATTTTGAATGGCGTTGTAAGGAATAAACATTTTTCATCAGGTTTTATTGAGTTACTGAAAAGAATATTTCATATCAAAAACTACTTGGGTTAATATTTCAGACTAGTATTTTTTCCTTATTGAAGCTTATGAGAAGCTTTGAAAATGAGGGTGTGATCTGACTTTAACTAGAAAAACATTTTCAAAATATGAAGTTTCTCCATTTTGTCCACTTATTTTTGTGATAGCTGTTGGATATTTATGGACTTGATGCAAACAGAATTCATTCTACCATTGAAGAGTTTTTCACAAATAAAATCTAGATGATAAGTTCTTGAGTTGACTTGGTGATTGTCAAAGCACTTTTTGTTAAATTTCCTGATATTTATTGTGCTCTTGAAAAAGTATGTAGCAGTTTTTGTTTAATTTTAAGTGATCCATCCTTGGATAAAACAATTTAGTTTGAATATCAATTTTAAGAAGGTTAAAAAAAAAAGGCGTAACATTTTAAAATATCAATGTTAAAAACTCAAATATTGTTGTGCCTGCCATATGAGCAAAATGGAATGCTTTCTTGGGGAGGGTGTCCCAGCCCATGGCAGGGGGGTTGGAACTAGATGATCTTTAAGGTCCCTTCCAACCCAAACCATTCTATAGTTCTCTGAAAATTACTCGTAAGACAAAAAAAGTTAATAGAATGAATCAGTATGCAAAAGAGGGATTTCATGATATGGTATGATGTAAAAAAGACAATTATTTTATCTCCTTGATGAATAGGAATTGGAACTAATACTTTACCTTGAATGATAGATCAATGGAAAAAAAGAGATGCTTCCAATCTTTGAGAAGTGTGAAAGTAATTATGCAAAAAAATTAAGTTCTTTTTTTCCAGTCTAAATATAGATCCCACTACATCATTCTCACTGAATTCCTAATTTTTATATAGTGTATGCATTTTTTTACAGTACAGGCTTCTTTTGATTGTAAGTATTAGCTATAGTATCAAGTGTTAGCTGTATAACAAGGACTGTCAAAGAAAAACTCCCTCTGATGCTAATGTTAATAAGGAAATAGAGAAAGCTGACTCAGCTGCTTGGAGGGGCTGTTTTGTTACGATATTTGTAAATATTTGCTGTAACAAGAATTGTACTTCTATCAGTCAAGCTTGCTGAAGCCAGTAACGCCAGCATAAAATGACGTAAATGCCATGAATCAGCTCAATGAATGTACTATGTTGATCATATCTTGACAAAAGGTTCAGGATACAACTTGGAAAAAATCTTAGCAAACTCATAGCTCTATGTTTACTTTGATCTTATTTTCCTTTTTCCTGTGTATTTTTCATAATTATTTACCATTTATGTTCTCATTGTTTAATAGCGATTTTTCTAGTCATCACTGGATCAAGTAGATTCATTTTCATTTCCATTTTCCTTGAAATTAACTATAGACTGTACTTCTTTTGTAATACAAAAGCCAATTTATTGAACAGTCTCATCTAGTATTACTCAAGTATTTAAGTGTTACTTAGTTCAAAGGACCTTTAGGATGTACTGAGGGTGTGTAAACTTTAAAGGTAAAGAAAATTATTTATATTTTTAAAAAGTTCTTGTTCATCTTCTTTTAGCCTATTTGATCCTTTACTAGATATGTTCTTCTGTGGTGGGCAGGGAGAAAGCCAGCTGTACACCTTATGTAAAATACATTGCTTTATGAAGCTAGAGATGGAGACAGCATACTGCTGCCATCATTCAGCTGTCTGGTTTGTTTAGGCCTCCTTCTCCACATATCCCCATCGTTACAGAGCAGCTCTTGTGAAGGTGGGATCTGAGTTGGCATGCTTCTTGTGGGGAAACCAGAAACGAATACAGTGTGAAAAAATGGTTTCTGTGCTCTCCCTCTGCTGCCCTCTCATTCTTATAAAGGTGACTCCTTGTGTTCTTTTGATCAGTGGTATCCTTTCTTCTTTATAAGCTGTTTAAGAGAAAATCAAGTAGATTGGTAATATTTTGAAATGTTTTGCTTACAATATATTTTTATAGTATTTTATGCTAATTTTATGTAACACATGCACACTATTATTATTTCATTCCAAAAATTTACAAACCTGAAACCATACTGTAACCTTCATGCAAATGACTTTCTGTGTTCCTGTGTGTATAAGGACTTCAATATTCTCATAAGTCATTAAAGAAGATTAGTTATACTTTATTTAAAAAATAAGAGCCATTCCAAGCAGCTTTCTCTAAATGACCAGTCATTCTCTTCAAAGACAAGTATTTTGTACATGTATTTCATCATGTTATCACATTTTTTGTTTTCAATAAGGCCAATACATCTTTTCTAGCTGTTGCTTTTGATAAAAAGTTTATGTAGCTTAAAGTAAAAATGAAGACCTTCATGCTGGTAAGTCAGGCTAATCCCTTACTTGATCTTCAGTTATCTAATGTTCTGTTACTCCGGCAGCATACAATACATCTGCTTGAGTAAGTACAGTAGCCTTTATTTTGCCTGGTCTGCAGGAAAAATGTTGAGATTTGCTTTTTGCTGCATTGCATGAATTCAGGAAGGGGAAGCCGTACATGTTCTTTACTACTTAGGCAAGCATTATGAGTCCTCCATAGCTAATTAGGACACTACTTAACAGATTTATGTTACATAATTAATTACCTTTAATGGAGTTTTGAATAGACGCTGTTAGCACTCCGAGTCTGCAGTTTGAGAGTTGTGCCTTATCTATTCTGTGCCCTTCAAAAGGCTTCAAATACCAGATCTGCGTGGTATAGCATGACTTAATTTTGTAGTGGACAGTTGTGCCATGTGGACTAATATTCAGCAAGCATTTTATTCACAGTTCATGCCATACTTAAAGGAAAACATGTTTAAGGGGTAAATATATTTTTGTCCTAATGGGCGTTGTCCTCTTGTACCCCTATGTTGCATCATTCAGCCTTACAGTTGTTAGATTTACAGAAGAAATCTTTAATAGCTATGTTCTGCTGTGTTGTGCAGTGCCTATGGGAAGCCTTCAAGGATAGGTCACCTTCCAGAATGATAACCATCCTACAAGCCAAGACATGCTCAGTTAGGCCTTTCCTACTAGCTGAATACTTGAATGTATCATATCTGCTTTTCTCAGTACTTCAGAACTCACTCCATGGTGCTACATGAAGTGCTCTTACTTGTCATTTACCCTTTTGTGCTTTCTCCCACAACTTGGGTAGCCTTCTGCTGTGCGGTAGCTACTCGCTGGTCTGTGAGCTTCTGTGTTACAGACCTGCTAGTGCCATGGAAGTGTGTCAGAGGCTGACAGAAAAAAAAAAACTACCACAAGAAAGTGCTGTGCAGTGTTTCCTCTAATGGTGTCAGTAACAGTCTTTGGAGAGAGGAAGGGCCTTCTGCTGATTCTGATGGGTTAGGAGGTACAGACTTGGCTAGCACAAGGTCCTAAGTGTTCTAATGTGCTACTCTTGACTGGCACGAGGCTCATGCTTGTGGATTTTCAGATACTTTTCCCCCTTAGAGGCATTCTCAGGGATGGGTTTACTGGCTATCTACCTTCTTTTTTTCCTTTCCCTTTTCTTGTTCTTTCTTTGGGAGGATGATGAGATTCCAGGAACTCGAGAAAGGCATATTTATGGCAGAAATACTTGCATTTCCATGTGGAATTTACGATCTTTTGCCTTGTTAAAACCCTTTTGCTTCTCTTGGCACTGGCTGCTAATGTGTCTGTAACCTTGCTAAGAGTAGCTGTCAGCAATCTTTCCCACCTGTATGGAGAAGAGGGTGCCTTTTCCTGACTCTATGTATCACGCTGGGTCTAAATTGTGTTACACATGGGATGGTGGTCTATGGGATGGTGGTTCTTTGTGTCTGGCTCTTGAAGAGGACACGGGACTGAAATGCAGCAGTGCGCACTGGATAGTACAGTTCTGTGTCAGATACTTGGATGGATTCAACAAGTTTAGGCCATGTAGAGTGCCTGAAAGGGAAGTCCTGCATGACACTGCAAGGCTGGGTTGCAAGGTACCAGCTCTCGGCATGCCCCCGTGCATGCTGTCAGGGTCCTCTGGAGGTGTCCCATAATCTAAATGTATGGGCTGGGAAGGTGTAGGGTACTAAGGGCACTGGACTCACACCAGCTTCCCACTACTGATCCAGTCTTCACAACTGATTTTTTTATTATTAAGTGATCCAATTTACATAGCTGCATGTTCATTTTATCACAGGATGAACTCAGAAGTGATGAAGAACTTTGGAGTGTACGCATTTAGTTTTGTGATTGTAGTCCCAAATTTCATGTCATCTTCAGTTATATTTATTAGTGACTGAAACTTGATTTCCTTCAACTTCAGAGAACAATAGTTATCTTTTCCATTAACCTGTTAGTTTTACTCATCATGAGAATTACTCATCCAGCTGTTTCCTTTCTGGTTTCAAATAGTAATTTTTTTTGCTTTCAATTATGAACTTCAGATCTTTAAATGCTTACATTTTAATGCTAGAATATTAAGGCTACACTTGTGTCTCTACAGAGTTTTGCTAGGCGACAGTTTCCTGTGGTTCAGTTTGACCTGTTATTTTGCTATCCTGTTTATTTTTGAGGTACTCTTGCATTGCTGTCTATTGTCCATATATTACATTATAATCCTGCAATTAATCAAATTAAATGCAAGAAAAATGATTACAGTAATATCTATTTGGCAATTAGATGATGTGAGAAAAAATACTGTTAATCATGTGATTAATTATGAGACTGTTTCTTTAGTCAGCTATATTATAA